CACATGACCAAACCACCGAAGCATTCCTTTCTTAATCCTGGTCACAACATCATCTTGCAAACCACACTCTTCTCTTATCACACAATTTTTCACCCTGTCATTCAGATTCAGCCCTAAAATACTCCTTAACGGCCGCATTTCTACTGCATTTATTCTACTCTCGTGCTTCTTCTGCCATACCCAACTTTCACTACCATACGTTAAAGTAGGGACCAACACAGCATTGTGAATTGCCATACGTGCCTTTTTTGACACATTTTGACTCTTCACAATAGAGTGCAGGGCTCCATTTACTCTGTTTCCTGCGTTCACTCGTCGCTCTATATCCTTATCATATCTCCCATCCCTGCTAAATACGCAACCCAAATATACAAACTCATCTACTTGCTCGATCAACTCCCCTTCTATTCTTATTTCACATATCGTTTTACTTTCATCTCTTTCAAAAACCATAATTTTTGTCTTACTTGCGTTCACTTTCATACCCCTTTCTTTTAATGATCTGTTCATTAATGTAACCATCATTTGCAACTCAGCCGCCGACGACGCAAGAATAACTTGATCATCGGCGTACAAAAGGCATTTGATGGTTAACTCACCCATTCTTAATCCGCATTCTTCAACTTTCAAATTTTGCAAACAACTGTCCATAAATAGGTTGAACAACCACGGGGAAGCCACACAGCCCTGTCTGACACCTTTATGGATGCCAAACCAGTCCGAGTAGACCCCGTTGATCCTAACACAAGCACTAGAGTCCCTATAAAGAGATTCCAATGCCTGTATCAAGCCAGCGCTCAACCCAAATGAGTTCAGTGTTTGCCATAGCACATTCCTATCCACTCTGTCATAGGCCTTCTCCAAGTCCATGAACGCACAAAAAACCTTTTGGTTTTTTGGCCAAAAACTTCTCCGCGATCATGCGCATGGAGAAGACTTGATCTGTACATCCCATTCCCTTTCTAAATCCCGCTTGCACATCCCAAATTTTTCCATCGGTTTCTTTCATGACCCTTTCAATTAGTACCTTGGCATACAGTTTTCCCACGATGCTAAGAAGGCTGATACCGCGGTAGTTTTTACAGTCCTGCTGCGACCCTTTTCCCTTATATACTGGGACTATCACGGCTTTGCACCAGTCTCCCGGTACCCGCTTCAGTTCCGTATAAAATGTTCAGAGTTCAGTATAAAATGATTGGCAGTAAGCCTTGAACAGTGTAATTTTAACTGGTACAGAGCAAGCAGCAAACCTTCGAGCCACTATATTACCTCTCACAGCTAGTACCCTGCGTTCCCTTTCGATATCAAGATCATCCTTTAAATCCTCTGTGACAATGTGACCCAGGCACAAACTAATAAGAGTACTAACGTACAGACGACAATCTTCCATGCTAAAAAATTGGTCTATAGCGAGCCTCAAAACTTGAAAATGACATTTGGTTTTTTAAATAAATCTAAGGCAAAGGCATCAATTTGATTCTGCCTATAGGCCAGTAGCAGTACGGAATCCCTTCAAATTTTTGAAAATTTTAATTTCTTATAAGTTTAAATTTATGTACATGTTCACAATGTGATCATGTACATAAATTTAAACTTATAATAATTTTAATATAAGTATAATGAAATAAAATACAGAAATATTTGTTAACTTTTTTATTTTTATATTTTTGTTTAAATTTAACAAGCGCTTTTTTTGATATTGGCGGCAAATTCTTCCCTTCTAGGGGCAAGACATCAGTCCCTTTTAAAATTTTATTGATTCCATTACACCAGTTGTAAACTGCGAGTCTGATTGTTAAGTCTAGAAAATATTCTAAAGATGGGTGCTCTTGGCAAGATAAGAAGTCAAATGAATAATGTGATAGAATTTTTTCTTTAATACTTTTACTAATATTATCCTTTTGCGGATTTAGCTCCAAATATTCACTTGACTCCTTAAAACTTAAGCCTAAAATCCTCACTGCGTGTTCAGCAGGATGTCATTTTTTTTCTTTATTGCCTCATATTCCCTCATTGAAATCCATGTATGCATTTTTTCTTAGTTTTCAACCGTAAAATTTGCCTTGCAGAGGCTGCAGTTATTAGTTTTTCTTAAAACTTTTCTAATGACCCATCCTGCTGTATATGCCTGAGAATATACATTCAGTCTTTCTTGACGAGCATCCATTTGAATATTTTCTGGCCGACAATTAAAATTAATATTGCTTGTCTCTAAAGTCTTTTTGACTGCAACCCCTGATAGGTTTTAAAATAAATTTTTTAATTATAGCAAAGGGGCTGTTTCATCATCCTCGCAATGTGGGGTAGTGGAACTTTATAAATCCAGTTACTAATAATGTTTTAAAAGTGTTTGCAAAGGTGTAGCAATCTGGATCATTATTCCTGTTATATGCGCGCACTTGACCAAAGAAATTTTCAATGGGATCTGTGTTGAAATATCGTGGGCGCATAATCTTCACATTTTTTTTATTAAAGAAATGCCACAGCCTTTGCAAACTCTTTATATACACACCGGCACAATTAGCGGAACAGAAAAAAGTGAGACTATGAGATAATAACGCATATATTTGACGAAAATGTAATTAGACACAAAATAACAAATTAACATCTTTTAACAACGACTTTGAAAAGTCTTCGTTATTTTTTATTGAAAAATAAAGAAATTTGAAATAAGTGAAATTTTTAGATGATTATGAATCATCACAAAAAATAAAAAAAGTAAGCATTAAATGATTTAACAACAAAATTAAAGCAAAATTAATAACGAGTGTATCCCCCTCTTGCTCTGATTACGGTTTCCATTCGTCTGGGCATGCTACAGATTATGTTATCGATGATTTCTTGAGGCAACCGCTCCCACTCCTCAAGTAATGCGTTTCCAAGTTCATTCAGATTGTTGGGGGGGTGGCATTCTGGATTTAACCCTTCTTTTTAGCAAATCCCAGACATGCTCTATCGGATTCATATCGGAGGAATTTGCTGGCCACTGCATCACCGGTATACCTACGTGGCTCAGATATGCCTATACCGATTGGCACTATTAGCACGAGCATTATCTTGCTTTAGAATAAAGTCGTCGCCAATAAATGGGGCAAATGGTACAACACGTTCTTCTAAAATGTCGCTGATGTATCGATCTGCTGTCATGGTCCCTCCTGTGACTATCACTAACTCCGTGCGAGCTCCCAAACATATCCCTCCCCAAACCATAATCGAGCCGCCACCATAAGCCACTGTGTGTTCAAAATTAGACTGTATGTGGCGTTCTCCTTTGCGTCTCCATATTCGCTGTCTCCCATCGATCTGTTTTAAAAGAACTCTGCACTCATCAGTAAAGAGAACCTGCTGCCATTCGTTCAAATCCCAATGACGATGTTCTCGCGCATAGCTTAATCTGTTTACGCGGTGACGTCTCTCAAGTTTTGTGCCTTTGGCAGGTATATACGACCCTAAACCAACTTCTTCAAATCTCCTGCGAACTGTACGCCACACTGTACTCCTCGAACATCTTCCAGTTCATTTCGAGCTTGTACAGCCGTTAATCGCATATTCCTACGAACTCCAAGTTGTAAAAAACTGTCATCTCGCCTCGATGTACATCTTTTTCTACCTTGACCCCTCCTCCTCACAAGAGAATTAGACGATCTGTACCGCTGGATGCTGCGATGAATCGTTGATACTGGTCGACGAAGCTCTGAGGCAATCGATCTGTAGGTATGGCCATTGCTTCTCATTTCATCAGCCCTAATGATTTCCAGTGATGTTAAGTCAGGCATAATAAAGAGCTTTTAATAAACAAAATTGCCTATAGAATAACAAATTTATAAAAAACCATTAAGTGCAATTTTTCAAAAAAATTACAATTACGTAGTTATTACTCGAAAAAGTTGACAAAACGTATTGTTCGGGAAAATAAAACAAATGAAATTTATTCTTAAAATTTTCCCCTTTTGGATTTTGTTGCTTGTGCTTGCACCATTCATTGAATCAAACAACTTATCAAAAAAGAGAACAGTTGATGCAGTGTTCCTCAATGTTAGGCTCACCTCATTTCCATGTACATCACGAGCTAAAAAATTAAATTATTAACAATTAGAATATACCTAATTTCGAACTAAAATATTTCAGACACTTTAAACTTACAAAAATTTGCAGCAAAATTCAATGCTTGTGCTACTTTATAGCTGAGAACTCTTACACAGTTTTTAATCTGAAACAAAATAAATTTATTTAAGAAATTAACAATAAGTTAGAAAAGTTCGTAAAGTAGTTTCAACTGTCACATGTAAGTTGTAAAATAAAAGTCATAAAATAAAATACAACTTAGATAAATTGAGAATTGTAGTTGAATATTCGATTAATAGTTTAATTACTTCACATCAGTTTGTAAACGACCTACTGATGTGATGTACTTGGCAGATTGGCATTTGCATTCTATTTCTTACCAAATGTATCTTTGGTTTTGCCCTCTGTGTTGATTTGTGTATTTATATTTGGAATACACAAAATAGTTTACTATCATCCTAAGAGAAAAAAATACTTGGTAGTCATGCTGCAGTTATATTAGTAGTATAGTGTAGCATGAATGGCTCGGCTCGACCGGGGAAGGACCACACTCTCACGGAATACCAGCATAAATTGTAGCTTAATGCTGCTGTGTTTCATATGGTGGGTGTGGAATTGTAATGTTTTTATGACTTTATTTAGTTATATTTATATAGAAACTTTCCATGTAGATGAAGCACTAAGGAATTATACAACTTCTCACCTTCATTTTTTTTATTTTCCCCAAAATAACATGCCCATCATTCAATTTGGGCATCAGTTTTGTGCCTCCAATAGCATTGCAGTCCATTTTGTCCACATCAACTATGTCAGACTATTTAGAAATTTCCTCACCAAATTTAATATTTTTTGTCAGAAAATTGTTTCTTATGCCCTTAATGAGATGAGGAGGGTCAAAAATGATATTTAATCTATGTCCACTAATATTGATTGCTTCATCTGAAAATAAAATTTATAGGTTAAAATTAGTAAATTATTAGTAAAATTAATAGTAAAATTAGTAAAATTATAATAAATTTCAGTTTTTCAAAAACTGACTAAAAAGGTTCTGTTTAATCAATTAGGCATTGAAAGGATACCTGGGCTGCAAGAAATGCGAAGAATTGGTTCTAACAGTTCTCAGACACAACACAACTGCAATAGTTATGTCGTACCTGAAGACTTAGGCAACCAAGAATGACGACAACTGACTGTATGTTTCTGTTTTATGTTTGTTAAATTTGTTTACCATTACAGCCAATCAAAAGTTTACAGCTGAACATAGGCAGGGTGATAATATGGAGTTGTGGATTAGCTTATGTTGCCACTTCACAGCATTTAAAATCAATCATCCAGTTTCTCACAAAGGTCAAAATTATCTACAACCATATTATTTAAGAAATAATGTGAAATTATATACCTTTGTGAAGAGAAAAATAAAATGATTTAGTATTATTATTTAATTTGTTTGCTGGATTTTCGAAATTTTAACCATATATAGGTAACAAAATACCAGCCTGACATAGGTAAACTGGGCAGTTTTAGTAATTTTAGAAGGTTCTTAGTTTATAAAGAAACAAATTTATGAAAAAAATAAAATATAAGAAGGAATCTGGCAGAGGGAATATAGATAGAAACCAGTTGAAAAACAGTGGCACAAGATTGGGCGCTATCGTGAAAGGTCAATTAAAGTCTATCATAACTTTCTTGTTGACGTAAATGACATTGAAAGTCATAAAAATCATTGTAAGAAAATTTTCTCGCGTTAAATTCATGCTGATGTGACACATACAATTTTCAAATTGCCACGAAATCATAAAGAAATGACAAATTAATTAAAATTCATAAACAATAATATTGACAAAGAGTTCCTTGACCCAAAATTTTAACACATATTTTTATTATATTACTTACAAGAGGCCAGTTCTAAAAACTTTCAGTATCACCCTCGTATTTCATTTAATTTAAATTAAAAAAGAAATCAATAAGTTATATGTACCTGTTCTATTTTCTGAAAGTTTTTGCTCTCTTCTTGTCTCTTCTTGAAAGCTTTTTAAGGCTGCTTGGAATGCCGTTCCCTGGTCACAGCATAGAGCTACAAGAAGAAGACCTGTGCTTCCTACAGCTTTGACGATTTGGAGTATGATTTTCTTCAACTCCATAGCAGAAGTGGCACCTTTGCAGAAATAGTATGCAATTGGCTGTTGCCATTTGTGAACTGCTCCACGCAACATAAAAACCAATGCATGATCTGCAAATTCATTGGTCCTATCCTTTAGTTCAACAAATCCATGTATTTTGTCTCTATTCTTGTCATATGTGAGACCTGTCTCCAATGCAACCTCATCAAAAAGAATCGAGCAAAATTTCTTAAGTTCAAGCCAAGTTTCAACCTGAAATTTTTTTTGATTATTAGTTTGAATAAAATGTTTTTATGATAGTAACATATAAGTTGATAGAACTACAATTGGAAATTATAGACTTCTAAATTATAGTTATTTTCAAATTATTTAAGAATAACTTGCCTCTAGCTTGAGAGCCTCAAATATCTTAAGATTAATTCCAGATGTAACATCTAGGCCAGCTACAACTTTGTTTAAAGTGGTTTTGGATGGCAATATAAAAATTTTTTGTAAAAACCTGTAACATTTCTGACTTTGCTTTAATATGGATAGAGTAATTAATTTCTCTTCATCTGAAAATCGTCTCCCTTTTATATTTTTGTTTGCCATTTTAATTTGCATCCAAAATAATTTTTGTGCCAATGGATTCATATTTTTAGCAATATTTAAAAAAGGACTGGACAGGTCCTTAGAAAATTTAAGAGCTCTCTGGGTTCTTTTCCTGAAGTCTAACTGTTGTCTTGACTTCTTGTATTCTATATATGTACAACCTTCTACAATTTGGAGTAAGATACAATATTTTCTGCAGTAACCGGCTGCTACCAGTCTTTTTGGGGTAGAGAACAATGGTTGGCCTATTGGACCTGTAAAAATACCAATTGCATTATATTAGTCAGAAATTAGAAATTTTTCAGCAAGTGTAAAGGTAAGAATAATATATCATTTATATATACACTAGATCTGTCTCTATAAAATGTTATTGACTGTAAGACACCAAATATTTACTCAAATAAATAAATCTCTACCTTCTCTCAAAATTTGTTGAGTATCAACCTCCATCATTTCAACGGTTTCAGAAGTAAACAAAAATAACATATTGATGTAGCACATTATATTAGTGGGTAATGTAAGGCATTTACTTATTGCAATAAAACATTTTGTAGGTTTATGTCATTTTGAAAATGGTATTGTACTAGTATTACTAATAATATGTAAATAACTTTTACCTTCTAATATGTTTAGGTTACTCTGGAAGCTGCTGTCCATTGATTGAGAATATGTGTGGTCCATATGTTTTATCTTTTGGATATAACAGTGGTCAATGAAAGGATCAACATATTCTGAAAAAATAAAAAAAATCTTTTTACATTTCCACAAGGGTAGGCAGGACCACAGAACACTATTACTCCTATCGGGGCACGGCTCCTACTGCACCCAACTGCACCCACACCCACCTCTCCTCCTACCTTCTATGCAAGACGTATGGCGTATGCAATATGCATAAATCTATCTTTTTCGTGTGCGAATGCGAAAGAAGGTGTCAATTTGTCTATAGGTTTCTCTGTCTACGACAGATACAGATTTATCTATTGAATTTGGATATTATTATAACGGCGCCTCTACACGTTGGCCAACACAGTGGCGAATGTAGTGGCCAATAGCATTGGCCAACGTGTAGACGGGGTGTTTGGGCTTCATTGGTATGTATTGGAACGATGGTCCGCAAGTTGGCGCGAGATCCGTGTGGTGTCGGTTTTTTACAAAAGATCAAAGGATTGTTGGCAGAGTTTGGTCGCCGCGTCATTAAATTTTATATTCACGTTTTGTAGGGTGGATGACCCAATTACCAGCCTTTTAGTGCCAATTTCAACTTTAAACATTCATACTACTTTAATTAGCGTGAGTTAATTATTTTTAAACATTTGTTTTATTCGATAAGCTATTTATAAAAAAAATAATGAACATTTATTAACAATCAGATTATTACGAGAACAATTTTAAAATAAAAAAAAATGAAGCACGTCGCTTATACGTGGTAGAACCACGCAGTTATATTAGAAGTATAGTTGTAGCACGAATGGGTCGATTTGACCGGGGAAGGACAACGCTCTCACAGAATATCAATGTAAAATAGTAGCTTAATGATGCTGTGTTTCGTATAGTGAGTGTAGAGAACCAGAGACACTTTTTAAAGGAAACGAGGCATTTCATCTTAGTCCTCACGGGTGACAACGCATCTGCATTTTGATTCGTAATCGAGGATAGATGTAGATGTCTGTGGGCCACAGCAACCACTTACCATCAGGTGAACTGTGTGCTCGTTTGTCACCATATCCTATATAAAAAGCGTCGATTTCTTATAATTTAATCGTGCAAGTTTTCGAATCATCATCATCATTACAGCTCTTCACAAGTCCACTACTGAACATCCTCCTCCAAAGAATGCCGCAAAGCATGGTCCTGAGCCACTTTCCTTGTCATGAGTTTTTCATTTATGTTCTAAGTTATAATTAACGTGAAGGCACCAATTATGGACAGTTTAAGAATTTGGTCTTACATTTTTAATCACTATTCATCTATTTGCAAAGATACAATGTTATGACTATTATCAAATTGTAGACCAATAAACATGCTTTATTACACGTACATATATAATTTATATAGTGTTATTGTTTCTGATGAAATAAAGAAAAACTCAAAAAAGGCACAAAAACTCCATTTATGGACGGCACTTCTCCAGTGATGGATACTCAATGTTGGACATGTATCCCATGATGGACACCCAATGTTGGAAGGTTATTAAATTCACCAGTTTAAAATGAAATTCTTTGAAAAATTTTAAAGTTTATTAACAAATATAAGAAGGAAACCTCAACTTTATAAAAAACAGTTTTGCAAATTAAAAAGTACTATTATTTATTTATCACAACTCAAAATAACAAATCAAGTTAAAGCAACTACAGCAGAAACATTTTACTTATTAGGGTCAAAAAAAGCTTGAGGTATTCTTGTAAATAGAAGTCTCAAAAGAGCAGTTAACAACTTAGGTGTCTACTCTTACATACTACACAGTCTTTATTCTTTTTCTTTATAATAACCACCTTATTTAATAATCACAACTTGAGAGATCAAATTTAACCCTGTTTTACCCATTAATTAGAAAAACGGGTTAAAAAATATACACTAAATATAAATAGAAAAATCTTATTCTAATAAGTCTCAAAATCCAGGACATTTATATGTTAGGCAAAATTCCCATCAAACAATAGACTAAAAAATAAATGAAATAAAAATCTTTAAATCCACAGTCTTAAAATCTAGGTCATATAAATGTCAGGCAAAAACTTCTCCATTTCTGGTACTTTGTAAAAGCCTCTGTTATTATGTTTGATAGGAGGATTTATAACTTCGACTATATCAGTAGTTTTATACCAAATTTTATCTGGCCTTTCTGGCCACCTAAAAGTGTTCCCATTAGAAAGTACCATTGTACTTATTTCAAAGAGACCTCGTTCCTTATTTTCAATCTTTCCGGGGGAAATATTCACCCTCATACATAATGATGACAAAAGAACCCTTGTTGATATCCTTTTTAGCATTTTTAACTTTATTAGAATGTGCTATTTGAGTCAAAGGCAACTCTGATTCAGAATTACTATCTTCCGTAATAGATCGTTTTCTCTTCCTTTGTACTGAAATCTTCTTTTTATCCATTGCTTTACGTTCATTTTGTTTTTCCAGTATTTCTCCTTGATAGGTATTTGATTCAGTCTCTTCGTTCCATTCGCTTTCGCCACTTTCAATATATTCTATTTCAGCTTCTGTATCTTCAGATGATGATATTTCAGGCATCTTTGGTTTTTTAGATTTTGTTTTACCCTTCTTTTCCTTGGCAAGTTTTTCTTTGATATTTTTTTTCTCGATTCTCTGCTTAGCTTTCAATTCCTTTTCTTCTAAAATTCTTTTTTTTCGGCGGCTTTTTTTTCATGGTATTCTTGCCATGCTTTGCTCGTTACAGCTGATGGTAATTTTTCTTTTTTCTTCTTAGTTTTCTTAGTACTTTCATTGTCAGGCCAGAAAAGACATTTTTTGAATGGCGATGGAACTGTGACACCTAGCGCATTACTTATTGTGTTTTTTGCAGGAGTTTTTGCAGCCAAAGAAAGGGATCCATCAACCCTGGCTAACGTATCTGACGTTGTAATTTCGATTGAAGAAGTCACTGTACTACCTATCGTTACCCTTGTGTCTTCGATAGGTATTTTTTCAGTCTCTTGAGACGGCATTTCTGACACTGATGGCACTGTGCTACCCAGAATATCGCTTGTTGTATCATTATGGGATTTCGCATCAGATATGGCTTCATCAACTTTTGATGGCGTATTTGGCGTTGGTATGAATGCCACTGTTTCAGAGACACCATCTAGTGCACTGGTTGACGGTGCTATGAGATCAAGTGCACTGCTTACTTTGCCGTTGTCATCGAAGTCTGTTGGCATAACATTTTCTTGCATAATACACGTGTTATTATATAATACGTTATCTGAAGTCGGTGAAGATTCCCTATTTAATGCAGCAGGTGCGGAACTAGATTCTAGCGAAATTGACATTTGCTTGTTGTGTGCCCACACTATATAGAGATTCAAATCTTCATCTAATGCCATGTTTTCGAGAACATTTCTTCCTTCATAATAAAGACTGTTAAATAGGTCTAACTTTTCTTGACCAAAATGTTTTGTAATTTCGGTTTCTAAAAATTGTAAAAAATGGCTTCTTTCTTCATTTTGGTTTTCATTTGCTAGATCAGAAACAGTATTCCGCTTTGTGAGTTTTGACATATCAATATATTGTGGACCATATGGATGCAGACCACCGCCCCTAAATCCATTTTTAATGCAGTCCGTCGTTATATTCTTTAACGCTTTTTGAAAGACGGGAGCAAAGTTTTCCTTTTTCAACTTGTTTCCCGAATTTTCCATTTTCCACTGGATAACTGCTTTACGATAATATACTTTCAGCGGTCTGAAAAGAGATATGTCCATAGGCTGCAGAATGTGGGTCGAGTTAGGGTACAAGGCTATAATTTCTATGTCATTTTCAGAGCAGAACTTGGACAGATGAAGTGTAAGATGCGATCTATGACCATCCACAAAAAACAAAATTGGTTTCTGGATGCCTTTTACAATCAGCCAAGGATTAAAAATTGTAGTCACAAACTCGTAGAAGGTCTCACCAGTCATCCAACCGGTCTCCGACTTTCCTATGCCCCATTCTCCTGGCACACTGCTAGAAATTCTGTCCGGGACTCGATCATAGGCGAAAACAATCATGGGTGGTGCTAGTGTACCCGCAGCATTTGCAGTCAACAAGACGGTTAAATTTTCTTTTTCATCGCCACTTGCCGCATAAACATGCTTTTCCCCTCGTCTAACAAGCACTCGTCCAGGTTTTGGCGCAAGAAAAAAGGCGCTCTCATCTGCATTAAAAACTCGGCTTGGCTCTTTCAGAGCTTCAAGCAATCCCTTTTCGGCCAAATATTCATCCACTTCTTTGAACCAGTTGTTTATTTGCTCTTCTGTCACTTCATTGCGTGCTGCACTGAGGTTTTCGGCCGTTCTTTCTGCTAATATCGGATGTCTTTTAATAAAAGAAGAAAACCATTTCTTCCCTGGCCTGTTTGCTGTAAAAGGAGTAGATTTACGTTGCACCGTAACTATTCGCTGGACGCTATCTAAAAGTTGTTCTCTAGTGATAGGAAATCGTCTTTCGGCACTTGCTATTGCCCATTTCACAAGCAAATCTTCTTCTACTGTTGTCAAGACTGTACTAGGCCCCATAGTGCATACCATGGGGCTCTTACCGGAGATTTTATTGTGGAGAGTAATTCTCGGCACTCCAAATCGCTTAGCTGCTGCAGATACTGATTGTCCTTCCTTTCGCACTGCCTCAATGGCGTGAGCCATTTGTTCAGGCTTATAATCTTTTTTAGGCGCCATCTAACCAAACAAGAAATCAAATTAGATAGTTCTTACAATCTACGAGCGCGTGGTCCTAGGTCGTGTAACACGCGCTTATGAATTGCAAAAAACCATACAATTATAACATGGTGTCCATTATTGGTAAACGTGCTTTGATTATTATTTTTTAAAGACATATGATATCAGGCGATGTTCAAGAGGTAATACTATTTATAATTTACTCTTCAGTACAATTAAATAACCATGGACACGTGTCCATAAATGTGTTTTATGTCCATTAATGGATCCAGTAATGGACACCCCCCTAAAATACTTTTAAATTATCGAGTGACATAACCTCTTTCTCGAATATATGCCTAATACTATAAGATAAACATAAAATCAAAGCGTGTCCATATATCTATCTAAAAAAGGACATTGTGAACAAAAACAATGACTAACCTGCTTAACGATTCCTTTAAGAAATCCGGATAAAATTTGAAAAACTCCAGAGCACAATTTCTTCAACTCGCCATTTTGAAACAAAATGGCCGAAATTAATTTTCTCTGTCAATATGACAGAGGGATGTTGGCTGTCTATGTCTAAAGTGCTGCCATTTCTAGAAAACCATTTCTACCCTTATTATAAGGTTGATAAGTTTTTTTCGTCCATTATTGGTGCCATGTCCATTACCGGCGCCACCACGTTAGTACCTATTATTAAGTCAGTGTTAATTATATTTATTGCTATTGTTTTCGTCTTTCTCAAAAAATAATTAAATTACCAAATAAATTATAAGGTGTTTTTTTATATACATCAAATGTCTGATAGAAAAGCAAGTACATGTTTTGCTAAACTTTAAAAACAAAACCCAATTTTAAAACATAGACTAATCGATTATAACTCCTTTAACTTTAAAATAACATAAGTTCTAATTAATGGTATTTATTCCAGTTTCTGATACATGTAAAGAATAAATAAAGCTAATCGTATATCGTATATCTATTTACAGCCATATTAATATTCACTATTCCTTTATAATTATTTTATAAAAACGTTACCCCTTGTATTACACTTGGATTTTCTCCTGTGTCGCGGAGGCTACTTACAAACATAAATTGCACAAGGACACACATCCATACCCGAAACAATTATTTGTGGGATATACAAATACTTGTTCCGTGCGGGATTCAAACCCGCGACCCCTGGCACAGCCACTCATTGCCAAGCATCACTGCGCCACGGAGCCGACGTCTAAATAAAATAAATTCGTCCGCACATTGGACCGAACCGAAGTAAACTGAACGACCTTCCAACGTGTGGACGCCGTCACCAACTCTCGGCCAATATATTCGCCACTACATTCGCCACTGTGTTGGCCAACTTGTAGAGGCGACATAATATTATACTCTTTGATCGCAGTCACAGAGTAATTTTTTGTGTACCTTATCCTAATACTACTAGTATATACACACAGTAATCTATGCAAAAACCTGATAACAGAAGCAGAAGTCAGAAGTTGGAAGTGGTTGTGTTATGAATAGTAAAATATTTTTTATTATTTGATTACTAACATTACTACTGTAAAATGTATTTCATTTCAAATGTAGTTAAAGTTACAATACCTAATTATTTAGCTAGTTTGCCAATCCCTGACTCTTTCGGCGGATGGTTCCGTCTAGGAGGTAAGTTTCGTTTCTTCAATTATGAACTATATGATTGTAATTGGCTGTACAGAGTTCTTAATTTACAAAATTTTCTTAGATCACAAAATTTGCTACATACAATACTTTACACTATCCATTCACATCATGATGCATAAAAGTTACTCTATCGTATCCTTGATGTGACGTTAAATATCAGTTGTAAGTAGAACAATGTAATTATGATGTTGACCTCAGAATATATTTTTATGCTGGCTACTGGCTTTTAGTTTTAATTACTAAATGATGTATGATTCATCTGTGTATTTAACAATTCTGTGTTATCCAGTGTTATATATTATAAATAGATTGTAACCTGTTTTGCTTAATGACTACTTATTTTCAAGCAATAATGAAGTCAATGACGAATTGGATTTAGAGTCGTTTGGCAGGAATTTGGGGGAGTAAGGTGTTTTTTTTTGGTAGAGGTTTGGTCCCTGATTATAATAATACCACTCACGTTAAAAGGTAATGCACCGTTATCGAAAAAATAAATAAAATCTATTATAACTTAAAATGCGTAAAACAAGGAAAAACATGCAATATTACTTTGAAAGCTGCATAGCATACAGAATTATGTGTAATTTCGACAAGAACGTAAGACTAGTGTCTCATTATTCTACTGTCAATACTCTCTGTCAAGTGTCAAATATACAATTTACATACGGCTTTTTATGCATTTCGCTTTTGGTTGCTCTTCTTGCGTGAATGTGTGCTCTCCTGTGTATTATTGTCCGCCTTCGCCTGTTTTTCTACGACTGCTACCGCTCTGGATTCTTTTTTACAAAAGTTATTATTTTGGTGTTTTATTGAGTGTAAGATGGAGCAAAGTGAGCTTGGGACTTAGGGCATCCCGACTCATACAGGTTAGGTTAGAAGGGGATTGCAGGGTCGAGTGAGCGAGCAAATCGAGCAAATAGATCCCACCATCCCCTTCGTGGTTGTTTATTTATAAACCACTCAGAAGTAGAAGCCCTGCAAAGCAGGGCTCCGTCAACTGGGCTTCCCTTGACTGCGCTATGTGGTGCTTCCCTCCTCCAACTCTCTCTCCCCATAAATCAGGCTTATATTCAAAAACATTACGAAAACATAACCTTAAAATGACATTTTCCTGCCAAACAATTCTAAATTTCAACCTCAATGACATCAATGACAACACTGAATGTCAAAAAGTAAAATTTTGGAATACTA